CCAACATAAGATAGTAAACTGAATTGTCTGTCACCCTTATCAAAAACTCCTATGTGTAATATAAACCTTTCCTGTAAACTCTTAATTTAGCTCTCACAATTGTTTGTTCAACATTTCGTGTTATCACTTCCTGACATGCTGCCCTGAATGCGGACTTCAGAGAAAGATGGCAGTATACTGTACACATGTGAGGACACTACTCATTCATTATGGAAAACAATGATGGGTAGTGTTCTCCTTTCTACTCCCCCAAAACAGTGGGCTGTTCAGAGGGTGGAGACGGGATGAGGGGGTGGAGGGGTGGGTGGGGGGGGGTAAGGTCTCTGTATGCTAGATGCTTTTTCGTGATAATGCTCTGTTTAACGTTCCTGATCTCAATGGCTGTGTTCCCCCTTCTCCAATCCAGCGGGTCACACTGAGTCACAAGGCCAGCCAGCGATGACAATGGCATGTTTGTGCGCAGGCTGAGCTATGGGTAGGCTGTCTGATGTGAAGGGATAAGATGGCACAAGGTGGACACTAGAGTCTCGTGTGTGTGTGCGTGTGTGTGTGGGTGGGTGTGTGTGTGTGTGTGTGTGTGCACTTGTGTACACGTGTGAGCCTTTGGATATCTGCTTCTTGTGCATTTGCTGCTGGTGCATACAGATGTAATAGATTTAATAGAGAGACCTTTCTCACGATAGTGTAAACCACAAAGATCAAAACAACTTAGGTAAGTACTATAAGCATTCTAATCTACATTCAAACACTCGGTCCAACGTAATATTCATTTGGGTCATGACAGATAAGATAAACACTTTCTGCAACGGAAGGAAATTGTGGGTAACGGACACTTTCAGGCTTCTACAACCCACAGACAATATCTGCAGTTGGTGATTTGATAACTGAAACAGGAAAAGGAAAGAATATCTCATACTGCAGTTAGATTCAACAATCTAACAGCCATTAACCCACCCGGTCAGCACTGTAAAATAAATGCTATAGGGACAATGGTCAGTGAAATAGATGCTTAAAGGAATAATAAAGAATAAAATATCCTACATATTGCAGTGGGGTGGTTGCCCAAGCAGAGATTTTGCAAGATTTACACCAAATGAAGAAATCATCTTCCGAAAAAGCCAAACCTATATTTTAATTAATAATCTTGTTATATTGCCAAGTCCCCAACAGATGCTAGCCAACACTGCCAGAATAGTTTAACTGTATGTATTGTGTTAACAGGATGAATGTGTGTGGAGGGGAGCGATATGAGGAGAAATGAGATATGAGAAAATGTCACCTGTTCAAACAGGGAAAGACAATTATACTGCAAGTTAAACATTGGAAATCAGATCTGCAAGAACACAGCACAAACAGTGTGATTTATTACAAAAATGGTATGGTAAAAACAGAAAGGAAGGCTCGCAGTGGACTGTAGAGGTCACTGGCGTACACCAGCAGCTTCACTCCAGTTTGAGCTATTTTCTTGGAAAAAGCAGACCTGCGAGCCCTCATCAAAACAGGCTAATTGTTGTGCTATAAACTTTATTTTTGGATGTATTCCTGCGGCCTGTATTAATATACATACTGCATGTAGGTATATACATGCATCCATGCATGCACCGTATACACTACTTTCATTTCTTTCAGTAAAGACCAACATCGCTCACCAGTGGGTAGTAGGCCATACACTCCTTCATCATCCCCCCCTCCTCCCTCTTGTCCACCTCCTTGTTGTCATATGACCGCTGTTATGTGTGTGCAATGGAACACAAAGTTGCTCTGTTAGTCCCCTCTGCTCTGCCCTCTCAGATTTGAGTGCTGGAAGTAAGGCCCTCTCACACACCCGGCCTTGGGAAAACAGACAGGCCCCTGTATGTGACTACCAGCAACGATTAGAAAGGAGGGCAAAGAGAAAGAGAGGGATGAATTGAGCTGATGTTATTTTATGTAACAGCGAAAGATAACTTAATCCGTACTCATTCACAGAGCCCCGCCCTAAGATTTTGTTCGATTCAGCTGATAGCTTTCCCCACTGATGCTTTACTGTTAAGTAATTTATTAGTCTTCTCTACATCAGCGCCTGTCTAAAAGAGACAGTGTCTTACAGCCGTTTGTGTGGAGATGACACTTTGTCCTAGTACCTGGCAAGTATTGCCCTGAGTGACAAAGCAACTGGGAGACCGGGACTTTCTGGACACATACTTCCCTTATGGTTTAAATGATATTTCATAGCCTCTGCATGGTGTAAAAGATACATTTTCATGTTAATTCTCACAACTATTAAAGAAAAGACTCTTATCAGTCTCTTGCGGTAATTCTGTTACTCCCTCTCCAGGAAATAAATGACATCTTAGATTAATCATTTTATAAAGTAGGCTACCGAGGGAACTAGGCTTGGCCCCCTTGGTACTTAAATGTAATAGAGCTCAGTTTAATTGTCCAAGTCGGTGGTGTGCTCACCTATAAGGTTAAAGATGACTAAAAGGGCACCGGATGGTGACATTGGCCTCCTCAATGAGGAGGGAGCTGCTACCTCAACAGCCACTGTCACTTTAAAACCAAGTCTGTCCCTGCTGTCCCTTGCCATTATGTCACCCAGTGGAGTGGATGTAGCAAGTAACAAAAGAGGTAGAAGGAGGTCAACACAGCATAGGTTTTGTCACACTATTGCTCTGGTTTTTAATATGCATAAAGCTTATGCTTAATGTATGTGATGTGTATTGCACTGATTTAAGAATTTTTTTAAAATATGAAGACATTTATTTCTTCCAATATTTATTATTGATGATGACATTATTCAATATCTGCGTGTGTCTGTTTGTGTGTGAAACTTGGTGAAGGCCCATTATGTGAGCATGTGATTAACCTTTATATTTCACACTGAACCATGTCATCTATCATTTTAAAGCCTAAGTTATCGGTAACCTCACATTTTTTTAGATGTAGCAGAGCAAAACTGAGCATTTTGCAGCTTAAATGAAAAGATGAATCAGATATTAGTGTAGTTCTCAGTGGTTTTGTCACATTGAATGTGACAAAAGCTGTTTGTTTGTCTTCTAATGGTTACCAACCAGTGATTGAGACAGTAGTAGTTGCTATTGAGATGAGAACTAGATCCCAACTGGACAAAAACATCATCAACAAGACCCTGGATTTTGTTGGTGCAATACATAGACAGTTAGACACTGTTTTGCCTGAAAAATGTTGTTTGCATGCAAAACATTCACACACCCAGTTCAGATTCCAGCTGTGATATTATAAACCACATTATTTTTCTGCATGGCAGCAACATGACATGCATCTTCTAGTGAAATGGCATCATGAAGAATTAAGTATCTGCAGATTCTGGTTGCCCAAAAACACAACTCAGACCCCTTGAAGTTTTAATGAAACCAATAATGCTTTTTAGACATCTCCTAATTTAAAAACACAATTTAATTAATAAACGTGGAACTGATCAGAAATAAATAAAAATGACATACACTTACACTTGCTGATAAAGCACGGTTTGTATGCTGCATAAACTACCTCTCTGAATTCCAAAATGTAAAGCATTTTCGTAGGTAAGAACAGTAAATATAACTTGCAGCTACCCATAAAGGCTTATCCCAGTCTGTCAGCATTACACGATGACAGCAATAGATGTTACTGTCCAGTTTGTTCTCACAAACCCCAATCAACCAACATTACAGAGGGCACAGCAAACATATCAATCTAATATTTCTCATCCATTTTGGTATCGATAGTGCTAAAGAGATAAAAGCATGCTGGAATTTATCCACCATCTTTGCCTTGATGCACAGATGTCTGAGGGCCTCGATGTGAGCTCCTGCCGGTGGAACTATCACACACACATCCAGCATTCTTTCTGTGTCACATGCTCAGGAAAGCGCGTCTTTCTACCACCGTGAAATTATCACGGTCTTTCCCCGTCTCTCTCTTTCATCCAATCTGTTCCAAATCTTCTCTTTCCTTCTTTCTCGCTCTTGCTCTCTGCTGCATCAACCTCCGCCCCTCTGCCCCATCTGCCTCCCTACTGTTAAACCCCCCAGCCCCTCGACCCCTCCCTGCACTGGTTCTCTCTTTCTCTCTCTCAAGCATGTAACACAAACACACATACAGTACACACAAATTACACATGCTCTCCTGATGCTACATGACCAATCCCAACCCCCCCATTGAAAATAAATACAGTAACGCTCTGTTCAAAATATGAAAGATGAAACAGAAAATGTCACAAATCATCCTGTTATGCCTGCTGAGTAATGAACACGCTCTGCCCTCTCTCCTCTCCCCCCCCCCCCCTGTTAGATTTTTACATTCATATTAATACACAAACCAAACGCACACAAATGAACCAAATAAAATCCCACTTATTATTAATGAATGCCGATGTAAATTTTTCCCCTGTAGAACAGCAGACATCAACCTCCACTGTCAGGCCACAATTTGCCCGCTTATCCCAGAGCTCGCAGAGCCAAGCCCCTGCACACTTCCCACTGCAAATACACATTAAATATCTCGTAAAGCCAGTTGTAAGTACCGAACACCTGATCACCTGAAAGCTGATGGTGCTTTTACTCTCCCATTTCCCCTTTCCATTTCATAGCTCATGGCCTGGACAGAGCACAGAGGCATGCGCGCAAACACACACACACATCTTTGATGCATCCTTCACTTGTCCTACATACAGTAATTACATGAACTAAGCACTGCATTCAGATAAAAGCATTCCATAAGAATCGAGGATGCTCTGGGGAGATGATGAGTCAAATTGCAAGCATAAGATAGCAGCGTCCGTTGGCACACAGCTAGTAGGGTGGAGGAGGGGACTGGACAGGCTGCCTGCCTTGGTGCCATCTCTGAACATCACCTTCCCCATTTTATCAGGAAAACACACTCCCTCTATGCAGAATGCCTGTAATGAAATAGCATCTTGCTCCTCCTCTGTGCCCAAAGCAGGCCAGCCCTGCGGTGATTACAAAAAAAGCTGTCTGTTTGAGAGTAGTCAGGCTTACCGTGTTCACAAGCCAGCATCCATTTATAAAGGACACTGCAGACAAGCCCTTGCAGGGAGAGAAAGGCTCTGTGCAATCCACCTTTAGTCCTGCTGCTTCATTTTCATGTCTTCCTCATATTCACAGGGTCACACACACTCACGTACATCTCTCTCTCTCTCTCTCTTTCAGCGCCCCTCTTTCTCTGTCTTATTAACGTCTGTGTTCTATATCCTCTCTTGTTTGCTCCAAGGCAGTTGAGACACTGCAGCGATGGGGGTGGAGGGCGTGTATATATGTGTGCGTGTGTTCGAGTGTGTCAGAGAGACAGAGAGGCAGAGAGAGGGAGTGCAGGACAGAAATGGAGGGAGGAGTCAGCAAGGATAGAGAGAGAAGGGAGAAATGGTCAGGATTAAATCATGAGAGTAACAGAGAGAGAGAGAGAAAACAGGCTTTGATGGGGTAGCTACAGCTTCCAGTGTATCTTTATTTAATGCTGTAATGATAAAATATACATTGGCCATTAAGGAATCTGAGCCCTACTGTCTAGAATGGTGGTGAGACTGTGAGTAGATCTGTTTCTTGAAGTGTTATATGCTTGCTGACAGGCCAGCAGCAGGATTGGTTGTGATTTCATTGATGACTGAAAAAACATACAAGATAGGGAGAGAGGGAGGAGGAGGAGGAGGGGACTAGAGAGTAGAGGAAGGGAGGGGAGAAATGACGACAAAAGAATGGGAGGGGGATTGGACGATGGTGTAATGTGCTGTTTCCGTGCCAACTGTTTCTGTGACAGTGGGACCACTTCCTTTATTGCTATTGGCTATAACCAAGAATTGATAGAGGCTCGGGCAAATGAGGCAGCATGCCATGGGGTGTGAATGGGTGGTCCTTTTCATGTGTTTCTTCCACTTCTTGTTCATCTCTGGGAACAGCAAATAAATGTAAAAAAAGAATGAGTTTTTGCTTGACTGCAGCTGCAGAAAACACACATGCATGAACACACAGAAACACAGCAATCACAGCGCTGGAGCATGATGTGAATTATCGCTTTGTCATTATGGATGCCACCAGTGTGTAAAGAGACTCCTCCCCTCCTCCTGACACACACACACACACATTCACTCTCTAACACACACTGTCCAGCAGGAAAAAATCCCCAGATCAGGTTGCTCAGGGTATGTAGTATAATGTAATTGCCTGGACACCAACCCTGGTGTCATGAACTGTGAGATAATTAATCGGCTATAGGCCAGCGCAAGTGCACATCTGGTGGGGGTGAACAACTTTGCCTCTCCCTGACCTCTCATCTGGCCCTTTTAATCCGGTCTGGCAGGCAGGTGGTGTATTGTCCCCATTCTTTCTTCCTGTCACTGTCTCCCTCCCGGTATCTCTTCATACCTATTACCCTATTCAACGTATATAATTAATTACCGCTCAGTCTTAGCGTAAAATCCCTTCCTCTTTAGCGGTGGTTCAATACTGCAAATGTATCAACTCTGTTTCTGCGGTAGTGCAGCGTGAACTTCTCAAAAATGAGTAACAGATGTTAATGCAGTAACATTATGCAATTACGGTGTATGAAACTGACACCTACCACAAAACCACCCCAAAAAAACCCACTCTGGGATGTCCCTAACCGTTTCAATCACATCTAAACATACTGTCAGAAAGACAGACAGTCAAAAGGAAACCATTTTCAAGGCATTTTTTAAACAGAGAGGACCAAAATAAAGTGCCTGTTTAGACAAGATGTCACGTACGATAGCCTTGGCTCTAAACGGGGTGTTTCCAGGCTCAACAACTGTTGTTGACATCTCACCTTCAAATGTCAAACCTGCCATTCATGATCTACCTGCCCCTGTCACACAGGAGATAAATCTCCAGGTGTGATTGAAACATTAACATCACAAATGTTTTGATGTATTTGAATGTAAAAGGTTTCAATCTGTGTGCTGAATTAGAAGATCTAGTAGCAACAATCAGTCAAGTTCCTGATGATAATACACCAGGATGATATGCCATCTTGCCATTAAACACTTTACCTCTTGAAAAGTTTTCAGAACTTCTCGGCTTTTGGTAGCTACCTCCCAGACTTTTACTTTGGTCTCCTGTTCCTTTAAAGGTGCTAGGTTTTTTTATTTTGGTGATCATTGAAACACATTATATTTTTACATTTAGACTGTATAATTTCAATCAGATTTCCTTTCCTGTTTGCAAAACTGCAGCAGCAAGGTAAATGAAGCAAATAAAGAACAAAAGATCACCCCCTGTTAAGCAGCTCTACACTGGTTGCCTGTTAGTTTTAGAATTGATTTCAATATTTCACAATTAAAGCACAGCAGGGTTTGTCTCCCAGCTACATATCAGACTTAACACTTCATGAGCTGCAGCACAGCCCGGTCCTCTGGGAGAACTTGGTTGTCAACAGAAGGTGGCTGAGCTCCCACAAGGTCCAGCCAGAAAAGCAAAAGCTGCTCAAGATTGTCTTTTAAATCACTTCAAAAGACACGCTTTACAGAAAAGCCTGTACTTTTTGTTCTGCTTATTAGTGTGCTGATTTATTTGTTTTGTAAATCACTTCACTGACTTTATTCCCTGTTCTGTTTCTCAAGATGTTCTCTGCTAGTGCCTTATGACCCCTCTGTCTCCTTCAACATTTTTCCATCTCTTTCACTCTCCATAACCCTCACTATCCCTTTTTGTCTCTCCCAGATTGTCTCTGTGCCTCTCCCAGCTTCCTGTCTCCCTAATCCTTAATCCTGTGGAAATCGGTCAGGCAGAATGAGCCAGCTTTGATCAGGCTCTCATATCAGGCGTGCTAACAGTGTCAGCACACCCGGATCCCACAGAACCCTGGAGCCCAGGGGGAGAGCTTCAAACAGGCGTTCACCCCCTGACTCTGCTTGAGAGGAAGGGGAAACAGAGGCTGCAGAGTTCCTGTCTCAACTGCCAGCTACAGACTCTGACATCAGTCTTTTTAATTTAGCAAACATTTGCATCGTGATTTAACACCATTTATCTGTGATGGCACCTTCGCTTTTGGCTTTTTTTCCGCACGAACTAAACTTGCTGTGGGAAAAGAGATCAGGAGCCAGTGTAACGCCATTTACGGCTGAGAGCAGTGTACAGTGCAGAGACGTGAAAGTCGCTTTAGCTTTTGTCAGTGGCGTCCTTGACAGCATGCATGGAATCTGTGTCACTGGTGTTTTGGTCCAGGGATAATACCTGCCTGAGTGGGAGGCATGTCACAAAACACCTGGTGATCTTGTGGCACAAATGCAGCATGCAGGAAAATTAGCCTTCCTTAAAGGTCAGTATGCACAGAGCATCTAACAAAGTCAGAAAAAAACGCACACAAACATTGAAACATTGACAAAGTGATTTCTGCTTTGTGACCGCATTTTAATCCAATCATTCTACTCTGAGGATATGTTTCAGATGGCCACTACAATACAAATAAATTCAGTTTCATTTGTACAGCGTAAAATCATAGCATTTCATATAGATATATATTCATATAAAACTCAAAGAAACCTGCTGCTTTCACTTGAGGTTAGTGTTTGAGGGGGGCAGCCTTTCTAAAACATGCATTTACTGACTTAGAATGAATGCCACGAGGTGCCTAAGTAAGTAACACTGCAAATATTAGAATAAACACTTTAAAATGTATCAATGTATTGTTTTAGTAAGCCTGTGTACATATATATATATATATATATATATATACCCTGCTTCGTTACATTAGGATCATGTTAAAGAGTCATTCACAGGGCCTTCGACCTTGCAGAACCAACAGAAACACAAACCTGAACTATCAGCAGATCTACAACTATAGCAGGAGTGTGTTCATTCTCCCCATTTAATCAGTTCAGAAGTGTAATCAGGTACTTTAAATCAGTTAGAGAAATGAAGCATTTAGCAGGGCCAGTCTGCGTACAGGATGTGCAACATCTGATGTGTGAGCACCTGCTATAATGAGGTCCATTCTTCAACTGAAGGTGGTGGAAGGCAAACATTTCATAGACAGGATTATAAACGCAGTGATTTATAATCCTGTCTATGAAATGTTATTGAGGTGTAAATTTTGCAAAAAGACCTTGATAGAAATAATTGATGGGGTGCCTCCATCAATTATAGCACCAATTACTGGTTGGCTACGTGAAAGATCAAGATAAATATTTGATTATGGCTAGAAGACAAGGAAATATATGAATAAACTGTAGAATAATATAAATAATTTCTTGTGTTTTGTTTGTATGGTCTGCCCCACTGTGTAGCTTGCACAGCTTTTCGCAAAGTAATGTCTGACATCTAGTGGCCAAATCTTTATACTACATTGTTAAGAGGAAACCTTTTGTATATGAACACACACAAAAAATATTCAGCAACAAAAAAGTTTTGAATTATAAAGTAAAATAAAATAAAATTATGAATTATAAAGTAATTTCAATTCAACCTCAAATGAATGAATTTCGATTCGTTTTTTTATCTTCATTAAAATGTAACATTGGACACTATCTGAATTGTTTAAGTTGCTCATATATTTACTTAATGATTGCTACGCCTTCATGCTTATCTTTAGTTCACTGAACACACATCAGTGAGCTGGCTAATATACATTTATCTACGTTTTTACAGCTTTCTTATTTACACTTACATTATAAGCGACACCTTTCTGCAGCTGTTGTGTAGCTGACATCTACGGTGGCCGACAAAGGCAAACGTGTCGCAAACGGCAAAACGCTGCAAACACGGGAATGATACAAAACCAAAAACACACAAACACATAAAAACAAATGCAACAGAAAAACGCAGCAACAGAAAAATGCTGCAATCACAGAAACGAAGCAGAAGCAAAAACTTACAAACCCAAAACAACTGCCAAAGAAAAATGCTGCAAATAAATAATTTTTTTTTTTTGCTTCTGCTTCATTAACAATCTTTACACTTCCTTTGTACACTAAGCCATAGTTGGTGGCACCAGAACCAGAGGTGGGACTAAGTCAAGTTCCAAGTCCTAAACTTTGGGCTTCAAGTCCTAAACAAGTCATAATACACTCTTCACCTGCAATTTTAACAACAGAATAACGATATACTGGTATGAAATAGGCCATATTATGCTCTTTTTCAGATTCATACTTTTATATGGGCAGTCTACTAGAATATATTTATATGCTTTAATGTCAAAAAACATTATTTTTCTCATACTGTACATTGCTGCATCTAATTTAGACGCCAACTTGTCATCAAAGTACACATTTGTCTGTTTAAATAGATCATTGTTGTACAGTGA